TCATCAACCAGACTATCCATCAGGAGCGACCACAGAAGGGAAGATAGTACCCCACCTTGAGAGCAGCCCTTGGTGACCCTGAACCTATTGGCCCGTCCTTGAAGAGTCGTAGTTGCAGTTGTGTTTACCTGCATGGCATAGATCCAGCCAGTTATATTCGATTCTATACCTTTCCTAGCCAGAGACGGTCCTATAGATTCAGGTATATACTTTCTCATGCATCAATATCTTCTATACTGTGAAACATCCAGAATCTTCAATAAATTTTGATACTGCACACTATGAATGATGTTTGAAGTCTTAAGGTGTCTAGCTGACCTTAGACTCTCTCTGGCCTGAATATCGGGTTTTTCTACTGATCTATCTGATTTCACCTAGGTCTTATATCTTCCGAGTTGTTTGGATATAACCATTCACTTTGAAAGGACTCTTCAAATATTTAAGTTCTTCAGGGAGACTCGGATTCGTAGATGTGTTGATCCCTCTGAAATGATCTTTTGATTACCCTTCTCTTTTGTCGTGGCTGATGGTTAAGAGTGTTTCTGTTTGGAATTTCTACGCGAGTTGTAGAAAAGTTAGGTGTAGAAACCTGCAGACAACAGTCAACAAACTCAAAAAATAGCCTTCAATGACGCCAATGTGTCTAGGAAAAATGCCTACAAAGTATAGATAAACTAATAGACCATTTATATTTATCAATATGAGAATGATTTCAAATCAATTATTATGGAGCCTATGGATTCTCTGTCATAAACGATTTACCAATAAGAATCAATAACTATAGTAGTATGTTTCAAGTGGGGTATTTTAGTAGCTCGGACTTACACTGTCTATTATGATATAATATGATTTGAAATATCTGAAAGAACAAATGAAATTAAAAATTACAATAGAATGTAAACAAGCAAAGAATTAAAAATGGAGCAATTTAAAAATGAAAAAAAGTTTTAAAACATATTTCAAACCAAGTTACATCACGACGTTTCGATTGTTGTGTCCACAATCGTCTACGGATGATGACTGGACTATTCCTCCGAGATCTGACTATTATAGGTCATTCAAACGCTTTCACCTATCCCCTCTTCCCTATCTTCGCTTCATCAGTTTAGCGGGAGTTGGCCTTTTTCCGCTTGATTAAAGGTTTCTATTATATGTTGCGTATCTCTATGCTAGCTTGGCTGAATGCATCGTTGGACAAGATATATGCAGCTTTTTTTAACTTCCTTTTGGACCAGTGTTCTTCCCTAAACATGCTCTGCTATTCCCGATTTGCTGGTTTCCATCGCTGTGTGTTTCTCTTGTGCTTAGTTTCACAGTTACAGGATTTGCCACACTCACAGGGTATCCGGTAAATGCAATTCTTGAAATTGCAGGCCGCGTTTGGTGGCCTAGTTTTCGTGAGGCTGCTACGGGTGATGCTTCTGGATCTGAATCGGATTCTGATGCTGTACTTGGACCCAATTCTTCTCGTCTTTTCCGACAATCCTCTAACATAGGGAAGGGCCAAGCAATGGTTGTGATGACTTCTCTTCCTTGTTAGGCTCTTGGTGTCTTCTAGCCAAAATATGTTCTATCATCACTTTGGAATGTTAAGAAGTTTATTTGAATGGTTGACAATGTGAATTTCATTATGTGAATTTCATTAGTTCGAACTTTCATTATCTAATATCATACAAAATAATTTGAAATCCCTGAAAGAACCAATACAATTGAAAACTAAAATGAATAGCCGAAAATAACAATTATATTAAGCAAAAAAAAACTTCACGACGTTTCGATTGTTAGTATCCACAATTGCCTTCGGGTGATGAGTCATCTTCCAGGGATTTCAAAACATTTTATACCATATTAGACAATGGAAGTCTGAACTAACGAAATTCGTTTGTTGTAATGATTCCGATCTTTATCATTCCTAGATCTTTTGCATTTTGCAAGAGCTGAATTGTTAGTTTTCATCATTATTTTCGAGACATCTGTCAGCCAAGGGGATTTTGGTTTACTTAATCTCTTTTCATGGGTGCGTGGATGTCAAATGAGGTTATTATATAATTATTAAAAGTGTCTAATTTTTTTCCAGGGTCATTTTCTATAATGTAGTTGAACCTTAGTTCAAACAGCCATACCTTAGTATCGCTGGTAAATCAAGTACAAACTTATCATATCTGATAAATTCAAAATCAAACAACAAAAGCAACACTTTTAGTTTCACTTGATTAAAGAAAAATATTTGATACTATAAACCATGCTTTTTACTATGTGCAAAACTTTGTTAATACGGATTCTATAAGTCAATTTTTTTCAAATCTTTTCTTAGTAATCAATAATAAGGCATCATCAGAACTAAACATAATACATGGAGCACCTCAGGGCTCTACACTTGCACTTCTTCTATTCATTACTTACATCCCTGATTTTTCCAATATACTGAAGTATTTTTAAATGCGTACCTATAGTGATGACCCCAGTCTAAGTTTTTCCGCAAAAATTGATGAGTTTTTATACGTTGAATATTTTTTGAATAATGATATGGATGACCTATTGAAAATATCAGAGTCACTCTTTGAATATCAATCCAAATAAATCTTCAGACATAATTTTTGGTAATAAGAGGGATCGGAATAAAGCCATACATACTTTGTCAATTTTTGTCAATAATCACACATATAGCGAAAAAATTAAATGCTTGGGTTTGACAATAGATTGCAATTTGAGGTACATTTGCCATTTTAACTCTCTGATTATGGTCTATCAAAGCATCTATACCCTCACAGACATTACCTGACTGAACATCTGAAGATTCAACTATGTGATACACTTATTTTATCAATTTTCAACTTCGGTGATATTGATATTCCAGGATCTAAAGAGTTCAGAATGCCTGTGTCCGATTAATATTTTCGCTGAAATAAAGAGATCATGTGACAATATTGGGTGACTGAAAATGTTAAATAGAAGAAAACATCACCTTATATGCTTCATTTATAAATTATCAAGAAACCAATGTCCAGATTACCTATACTTCAAAATTACTCCACGTCACCAGTATCACTTCAGAAACCTTCACAACATTCTTAACTTTTTCGAAAGTTATCTCTCTCATAGAGCTGTGATCGACTGCAACTAATCCTGAAGAATTGAAATTGCTTTCTTTTTCTGCGTTTAAAATTGAAACGAAAGACATCCTCTTCGGTAAACAATGAATCTGTCTGAATTGAATTTTAAATTAAATTGAACTCGATTGAATTATCCGATTCATTTACCTACGTGTACTGCTGTTATATGATGTTGAAACCTAGATTAGGTTCTAGTTTTAATTTATGATAGTGGATCACTGTGTATACATTCATGTATAAAAATAATCTTGGTTGAGTGGTAGAATAGCGTAAGGTAAACTCCGCCAAGATAAAAATGAAGATCATTTATTATTATCATTATTTTTTTACCGAAGTTTGCGCTGGTCAGGTCCTATCTCCCGAAGCCCCGATACATTCGGGAAGGCGCGCCAGCATTATCAACCAATGACCACTCCCCACACCGTGGGGTAAGTGATCATTGGGTCCGAGAATCATTCGTGAGTAGAGAGGGCATCATTACACCAATGGCTCCAATAATCAGAACAACCATCTTAATAGAGTGGTCTGGATAGAGTATGTGGAGTTCGGAGAGAAAATCTCGATATTTTATCCGTTTTCCCTTCTATTTTCGGACAATATTCGTCTCGCCAGGAGCTAAAAACTCCACAACAAATATCGTCTTTATCTGGTGGTCGAGAAGGACTACATCAGGCTTATAAGCTTGTATGAGCCTGAGGGTGGGGAGCGAATGATTACAATAAATTCGGCACTTCTTGTTCCCCACAACGGATTCAATATCCGCCGAAGCGTAGGGCAACACCGGTGTCTCATCAATACCGTAATAGTGCTATTGGTGGTAATAAAGCACTCTTAGGGTCGTGGTGTTATGTTGATGGATATAGGCCGAGACCGCATACGTTGGACATGCTGACAGCAAGTCCATTAGGGTCTTGGTCGCCTCGCGGCAGGCCCTGCACCTTGAGTCAGGAACCTCTATACCCATCAACCGACTGCGGTAGACTAAGGTATTGAAGACATCATCCTGGCAAGCCATGATGAACCCCTAAGTTTCCGACTTCAGCCTACTCGACCTGAGAAAAGCGAAAGTCAGACGCTTCGATACGCCAACGTATTCAATGTTATTGAAGAAGACGCATGCATTGGCTTATCCTTGTGTTCCGCAGAAGTAAGGTGATTTCTGCGGCTTCTATATGAGCCTTTTGCTGAACGGATTCCAACTCGGTGACATCATTACTATTTTTTTCCCGTAGTATGCGCTGGTCAGGCCCTATTCCCCGAAGTCTCGATACATTCGGGAGGGCGCGCCAGGATATGTTGGACATGCTGATGCATTATTATTATCGTTATCATTATTATTATAATTCATAAAATTAATTGGATCTTGTAAGAAGAGGCGATGTCATTTCACCTTACCAAAATGTCATCTGTGTAATCGACAATCCTCGAATATCAAAAGATAAACGAGTCTCCCCCAAGGCGTTCAGATGCAGAGCTAACCTTCGACATCGACCGCCTAACAATATGCATTCTCGGTCTTTCACTGCAAAACAACTAGAGGAAACCAGGGCCCATAAACAAAGCATTCGTGATCCACATCAGACAGCGCTGTTTGGATCCGCCTTAGTAACTGACCGCCTTGGGGAGCCTCGTCTATTTTTGATATGCGTGGATTCTTCTGTTTAAAATTTGTTTCCGTTAATCAGCTTTCGGTTTATCTAATAGATGGCGTCTTCTTACTCAGGCTTTGTTTTTGGGCGCTGCGTTTTTCTGATTAGAGCTTGGCCGAAACAATTTTTTCTTCTGACAAGGTTTAGATCTCTGTAAAGTTTATACGATTTTGAACTACCTCAACTACTGAAAAGTTGTAGAGAGAGTCTCAATTAATATCAATTATACCTTTTTCAGGATGTGATAATCCACGTAGAAGACTTATCTAGTTCATGTTTTGAATATAAACGAAAGCATGTGTTGAGTACGTTGAAAAACTTGAGTATTCATACTGATTCCGAGAACATTATGGAAAAAGTCATTAGTGTTGGGAATAAAATGGATGTCGCAAATATTTCATACCCAATGGATTTGATTACTGTTTCAGCAAAAAAAGGAACAGGTATTCACTGCACTTTCTTTGAGAAATTGGGATAAAAACTTAATTTTTTCTTAGGTTTGGAAGATTTACGAAATACGCTGGAAAAAACAATAATGAAACGTACAGGGCGAAAAATTCTAATAGTGAGAGTTGCTAATGGGGGAGAAGAAATGACATGGCTGTTCAAAAATTCCACCGTGGTATCAGAAATGCCCGACAAAAAAGATCAGCAGATTATGGAAGTTAAGACAATAATAACAGAAAGTAATTTACAAAAATTCAAATACCATTTCATAAGGAATAAATTAAAATAAAAGTTTCATTGCAATATCCATTTTACCCTACCGTTCATTTTCTCCAATTCTCTGATCATTATCAAGGAATTTTTCAGTTACCACAATACGAGTCTGCCTAAGACTTGAAAATTTTTTTTTTTTCGGTTTGGTTGACTCTGTAATCATTTCTGCGTCCTGCGGTATTGCCACTTTTGTTTGGATAAATTGAGGTGGAAATAGTATTTCTTCCATAATACCAGAAAACGTCTACAGGGGTGGTGTTGATTAGATGTGTGCTTCTGGAGCACTTTCGATAAGATATCATCAACTTTCTTTCTCGAATGTAAATCGGCCATTCTTGCAGCAAATATTATAAACTGAGAAAAAAAAATCGAAACTCACTTCAGTTTATTCCAATAAATGTTGTAAATGTTTACTATTCACTTCCTGACTATATCTAATGAAATCTGTTCACAAATGCATTTCTTGCTATTAAATGTTTGTGGAGTAATTTCGTTGAAAGCACCTCTTATTCTGAACTTGAGTTCTGAAATGGGCTGCGGTTGTGTATCGTACACTTACGATTGCTCGTATTTAAAAAAAAACCAAGGAGCGTCATAGCAGGTGATCTAGCGGACAATTCGAAGAGACGACGTCGACCTATCTATTGGTTTCAGCAAGATGGGGCAACTCCTTATTGATTGGAAGACAGATCAACTGAATGATATTTATCCCTTAGGATAAATATCATTCAAAACCAATGTGCACCATTTTAATTTAAGTTTCAGAAATGTATTAAGATCACCTCAATATAAAACTTCATTGTGTCATGGATGTTTCTCACATCATATTATCTGGTTATACAATCGGATTCCTCTTGAATATAAATATCCCTCAATTGAAAGGTTCAAAAAGGAAATAAAAAAACATCTGTTATCAAATACCTCTTAGAATGAAATATATTTTGTTTTCAAATTTTACTAACTTTAAGAAGGCAGGATTCAATCTCTGTAATGATAGATCACGACAGAGATTGCTCTTCCACCCAACCGCAAAAAAGCTATAACTAATCTACTGCTAATTACAAACAGAAATCGTGAAAAACAGTCATTACTTCAAGAATTACTAAATTTATTGTTGGGCATCGTTAGTTCCGGGCAGGCGATCCTCTATTGAAGACAATATGTGAAAAACCAAGAACAGTACTTAATGAAAATAACTGCGTAAACGCAAGCAAGACATAAGTGGAACAACCTATTCGTGTGACACCCAAGTTAGCTTGCCAAGTTTTTATATCGGTGTTGGTGATTTCACCAATCTAAAACCGACAACTGCGGTAGCAAAAATTTGGGAAGCTATCCTGGAATATCACACACACACACACACACGCACACGTGTTTGTTTCGCATTAACTTTGTCAACCTGTGTGTGCATTAAACTCAATTGTGGCGTACGCTTTAGTTGTGGCAACTCACCTTCGGATGCCACAACAAAAGAGGGCATAACTTGGCTATATGCGGTTGAAGACATGGCGGGAATTTCATCTGTGTGTAGTACGCCACAAACGCGTCCTAATTTTGTATACTATCAACCAAATTGTGACTGCATTTACTACATGGTATAGTGGTGCCCTCTGGCCACACACACTTATTATTGGAGTGTTTGGCTATGCGATTGAAATCCCCATTCAGTCGTGTCTTGACTGCCACAGTGAATTGACAAGATTATTCACGATCATATCCGTAAGTTTATATTTTATTCATACTCAGTGATTTCATTGCTAGGCTTAACTGATGAATTTTTTAGGAAATTGAAACAAGAGGTAAAAAATTGTTAAATTTGGTGCTAGCGAAAAACAGAGAACTGAGCAATCGGTTACTAAATTTGCCGAAGTATGAAACGACAAAAGGCGTTGACGAAAGTGATAGAGAACTGGCAATTAAAAGTGAGTACCCATTGGATTAACCACCGATCATAACAAAGTACCGCAAAAAGGTGTATTTCTTTGGATATTTGTTTCTCGTAACTTTTTGATCAAAATCTTCAATCTGGCTCGGAGGTAGCGCCGACATGAATATACAGGGTGGGCTATCTCACACGATACGGAGCTTCTATTGAAAACAATGAATTTCTTTCTCGGTTGCCTAGGTGATGAATTTTTTCATGCACGATTGAAAATAATGTTGAGCTATACAGGGTATTTCAAGAAATAAACGTATAAAATGCATATTTTTGAAGGACAACCCAGTATTTCATTGTATTTTTACATTCTTTCTGAAGATCTGATTTTATCGATTGATCGCACTCGTGGTCTAGTGAATACGATTAGAGATATACAGGGTCACGTCAAACGACACAGAAGATGGTAACTAAATCTATTGATTTCTTGAAAGTTACGATTTTGTGACAGGTAGAGGTCTATCAGGGGTACATTTAAAAATTATTTTCATGATATACAGGGTATCCTCAAAACATTGAATATATCAAAGTTGTGTATAAAATGATTCATTTCTTATCACTTTTTCAGGTTCTCTCTGTAAGGCTGATTTCATTAATCTATCACACTTTGAGTCTAGCTGAAACGATGACAGAAATATTTGGTCTAAAAATTCGATATTTTTCATTTGTAAAATTTTTGTGTCGAATATATTCATTATTGGTCAAAAAAGCTAACATGTTTCTATCTCAACTATTTACTGGTATTTAAACAATTCACAAACAGGGTGATTCAAAATTCTGAATGTTTCATTTAAATATCAATTGATATTGAATCAAATGTTGTGATAGCGACATGTGAGCCATTTTGACCAATTATGAATAGTTTCGATACAAAAAATTCCTAAAGTTCGAAAAATCTTGATTTTTTACAGCCTATATAGGTACCTAAATATAAACGTTCCAGTTAGACTCAAAGTATGATTGATTGATGAAATCAGCTCACCAGGCAGAATATGAAAATGCAATGAACTATAGGGTGTTCCGTAAAAAAAATCAACTTAGATGTGCCACAATTTTTAGGACATCCTGTATCAATGAACCTATTTCAGAAATGTCGTCCAGATTGATGTACATTCTCCTGCAATGAAGAAAATGAGAAACACGGAAGGGATGCATTACTATTGATTTTTCCGAAAACTGAAACACATTTTTAATAACGAATTTTTTATTTACATATTCAGATTTCCAAGATGCATCGATATCTTCATCTACTGATGAATCATCGACCAAAACTATCAGTCCAGAGATTCTACCCATACCAACAATACTAATCAGCTTAGAACAAGTCGCGAGTTTGCAAACTGTTAGATCTTTGAATATTGAAGACAACGATCAATTATTATCAGAACCCAAACCTTTTGGTTCTGGTGGCTCTTCTGGATCTGAATACATACCTAGGGATGAGTCCCGTAGCAGTACGATAATACCGGAAACTCCTGAAAATCTATTATCAAGTGAAAATTATATTGATCATGTTTCCCAAAGTGTACCTGTTGATAATTCCGAAAACCTTTTTTCAATGAATACCGACATGAAAATCGATAAGCTTTCATCCATCCGGTGTAACTAGTTCTACTGATCAGAAAAATCTAACAAAAGAACAAGTTCAAATAAAATGTGCAAGAAAAGAATATGGTGGTAAAAGAATTGGGGATAAAGACCACAGTTGTTATTTTTGTCACAAGTTACTTCGTAATTTAGCCAGACATTTTGAAAGGGCACATAGTAATGAAACGGAAGTTGCTAGAATCCTGAGTATGCCAAAGAAATCCAAGAGACGAAGAGATGCATTCAATGCTTTGACGCGTAATGGTGATTTCTATCATAATTGCGACGTGCTCTTATTAAAAAAAGGAGAACTCATCTTAACTCGTAGACCAAACGAGCAAGAAAAACAATTTTCAAAATATTCTGACTATGGTCCTTGACCCGAATGTCTAGGTTTCATGTGAAAAAGACATCTATGGCATCATCTTAAATACTCATGTGCCTGCATGAAGGATAAAAATATTTCAAATTCTATAAAAACATCACGACAACCAGCTGCTGAGAGCACCTCTTTACTGAATGGAATTTATGGTCACAATCTGACAGAAGACTTTCGATCAAATATTTTGAACAAACTACGAAATGATGACATATCTGAAATATGTCGCAAAGATGATGTTATCTTACGATATGGAGCATTTCTCTTTGAAAAATACAGTAGCACTCAAGCAGAACTGATTAGACAATCTATGCGGCAACTTGGGAGGTTAACAATGGAAATCACTAAGGGAAATACCGATGTGAACAAGTTAATTGACTCTTTCATCCCTGAAAAGTTTGACGCTGTTGTTTTAGCGACAAAGTCACTCTGTTCAACATCTAACGAAGTAGCGAAAAGGACTGAATTTGGAATTCCGTCTTTAGCGTTGAAAATTGGATATTCTATTAGAAAGTGCATTGGAATCGAAAGAGGTTTATGTTTGCGAAAGGGAGACCTGAAAAAAAAATGATATATTGTTGAGTTTTTTGTCAATTTTGGATTTGGAGTGGAGCGTTAGGATTTCATCCAATGCACTAGCTACTTTGTAATCCAGAAAACTCAATTCTGTCGATTTGCTTCCAATAACTGGCGATTTAATCAAATTGAGCAAATTTTTAGAATTCATGATCCGGGAAACTAAGAGTGATATGGAAAGAGAAACGATTTTCTCAAATTGGAGTAAACTAGCATCAATCACCTTGAGTCGAATTATTCTATTCAATAAAAGACGTTCAGGAGAAGCTGCAAGAATGAAAATCGAAAATTACACTAACAGACCATCATGGAAAAGTCAAGGTGTAGCAGAAATGAAAAAAACTTTAACGGAATTCGAAAATAAGTTAGCTAATGGTCTAACAGTAATAGAAATAATAGGAAAGCGAGGAAGGAAAGTGCCAGTATTGCTCACTAAAGACATGAAAGAATCTGTTGATTTTTTATTGGCAACTCGCGTAGAAGTGAGAGTACCCGATGAAAATCCTTTTGTTTTTGCACGGTTAGGTGTTTTGAATTCATATATGAGAGGGCACGATTGTATAAAAAAATGATGTTCTGAAGCAAACCTGAAGTCGCCAGAAACAATAACAAGTACAAAATTACGAAAGTACGTAGCTACCGTTTGCCAAGTTTTCAATCTCAAAGAATATAAATGTGATTGGCTCGCGCGACATTTGGGCCACGATATAAGAGTCCATCGTGAATTTTACCGCCTTCATGAAAATACAGTAGAGCTTACCAAAGTTAGCAGGTTGCTTCTCGCAGTCGACCAAGGGCAAGCACATTCATTTGCTGGAAAATCTTTGGAGGACATTGAAGTACAGGATGAGATAAATTTTAATTTTCTTATTGCCAGTTCTGTAAGTTTCATTTATAACAAGATTTCAAAAATAATTTGGATTGATCCTATACAGAGTACGCCAAACGATGGCGTATTAGAAGTATCTAGAGAAAGAAATATATTATTAACGTTATTTGGGCTTATCTTATAGTTGACTCCTATTGTTTTTGACATATAAATCCATTTTCGATTTTTTGACTTCAAAAACAACATCATTATAAAATGTGGTATTTTTCTGACCAGTGCTGATAGAAAGCTGCATTTGTTACAAAAAATATTCCTTTTCGTTCTGTAGATACTTATAATATGCAATCGATCAATTTTGGCCCACCCTGTATATCAATGAAATATCAAAATCTGTTATTCTTCTAGATTTACCACCTATAGAAGAAGATCCCCCTGATAAAAATGATAACGATGAAGCTGATGATATATGTGATGGGGAAGTTCCAAGTAGTAGCATTGAGGATTCAGGTCGCATTACTGTGAACGAAGTAGAAGAAGAATTAACATCTGAACCATTATATGGAAAAAATTAAAAAAACCTAGTACGTAAATTTATCCGTCAAATTATATTGGGGTGGGAAATGTGCGTGAACAAGCCTAATTACCATCCAAACTTCGAAGTGGATTTTAGTCTTTTCAAAGAAATATACGATAATATTTGAACCGACTAATAGCTACACCCAAATTTACCTACTTCAATATGATATTTGAAGAATTCAATCCAACAATATAGTGAATTATAACTTCTTTCTTTTTCAGAAAACGTTAAAGCTAAAAGGTCGAAGAGAGAAGCAGCTTTAGGTAGAGTTCCGTGGAGTGATGCAGAAACAGAAGTATTATTGAAGAAATTCAACGTAGAGATTAAAAATGGAATCGTACCAGGAAAGGATAAGTTTACAAAAATCAAAGAGAAGCATGACGACATACTCAGTCGCAGATCATGGACCGATATCAAATTTTTTGTTAAAAATTTTATAACTAGAAATAAGAAAATCAAAAAGTAGAGAAACAGTACTACTTACTATTGTTATAATAATTGTGCCTTCTCTTTTTTAACGTTGTACGTAACTGAAGTTTTACTTTTGGTTTATAATAATGATACAAAGTTGACTTATGATGAAGTTTTCCTGAATACGTTTTCTTGATATTTGAATAAATGATATTTTTATAACTCGAGAGTTTTGTGTTATGTTAAAATAAAAGGCAGTTTTCTCAATCGTTGGTTGAATAATTGGAAGATTCTTGGTATGTAATGGTATGGGCCAATTTGTTTGATATTGGTAGAAAAACTGGCCTTACTTACGTTTTCATTAGAAGTATTGGAGATTTCCTTGTGAAAAGAATTAAAATATTATGTTGGAATACTTTCAAACTATAGAACTGTACTGAAAATTAGGTAAATAAATTGTTTAATCTCATCTTATTTTCCGTTGTACCTCTAACTCCTTATCGTTACTACCCAGCAAACACCAGGCAATAACAATTAATTCCTATGGAAGTAACTTTGCGACATGAAGCTCACATACGAATACCTATGGAATAACTGTCCCGCTTGCATTTGCTGCCAAATGTTTGCCGCATTTGGTTGAAAAGTAAAATAATCGAATCGATCTTAATGCGATCTTAAAGGTATTCTGAAATGTAATGTCCTTATGTAATCACTGATAGATGTCTTATGGTATTCCACTTTGGGATCGTCTATGCGATATATTTTCTGAACTTCTTTGCTAAATACTTCTCTTCCTATCCATGAGTGCTCACATTATCACTTCCGAAGTTGAATATTATTGCATAATCAGATAATCGATTTTGTATTCTATGTGAAGTTATTTTGAATTCTTCATTAAGAAGTCGCCTTGAATCCTCTATTAGAGTTCTTTATTGTAATAAGTGTAAAATATTTTACGACTGTGATCAATTACCGAAACACCAAACTGATATTACTCTCACTATACAGACTGATCAACCTCAAGTCGGCACTATTGCTAACTTATTTTTTATAAAGATACGCTGTTCGTTGAATCAGATAACTAGTTTTTTTTTCCGCTGATGAACGTGGTGCTAACTAAAAAACAATTGAACAATGCATTACAAATGCATTTCTTGCTATTAAATGTTTGTGGAGTAATTTCGTTGAAAGCACCTCTTATTCTGAACTTGAGTTCTGAAATGGGCTGCGGTTGTGTATCGTACACTTACGATTGCTCGTATTTAAAAAAAAACCAAGGAGCGTCATAGCAGGTGATCTAGCGGACAATTCGAAGAGACGACGTCGACCTATCTATTGGTTTCAGCAAGATGGGGCAACTCCTTATTGATTGGAAGACAGATCAACTGAATGATATTTATCCCTTAGGATAAATATCATTCAAAACCAATGTGCACCATTTTAATTTAAGTTTCAGAAATGTATTAAGATCACCTCAATATAAAACTTCATTGTGTCATGGATGTTTCTCACATCATATTATCTGGTTATACAATNTAGGACATACAAGGCTTACCCATGAATACCTGATATCTCGAGGAGAGGAACCACAGTGTCAAATTTGTGAAATGCCACTCACAGTAAAACACATCATAAAGGAATGTCCGATGTTCCAAATAGAAAGAGACAATTACAATATACCTCAAGATTTGAAAGAAGCTCTAGGACGACATCAAGTGAAAAATATTATTTGCTTTTTAACTGCTCTCAATCTTATTATAAAATTGTAAATACTACCTAATGATTTGTAATAAATACACTCCGCCGCTAATAAACATCAGGTTGAAGCGGATGATTTTAAATTAAAAAAAAAACAATAATTGAGTATATGAAATAAATTAATTTACAGTTTGAGAGATTTCAAAATATAGAAAAGAGAAATTACCTAGTACTAAGATACAATGAAATTTTATGACACCAACATTCGAAATATAGTTAATTTAATATAGATTCCTTTTTTTTCAATTCGATCGTCAAATGAATTAAATTAAAGCTCTATGGTATTTTAGACACACACCTTGATCATGTGGCATCCGTAACACAGTATACAGAAAATACATTTCTTGTGGAATCACAAACATTTTCTTGAGTCAATGCATTGAATGTGGCAACGAACGCCACATGCTTTCTCATAGTATGTGTTTATGTCTCCGATAATACGGAGAGTAAAAGGACGCCACCTAGCGCATTTGATTCGTGAATTTGAATGCCATGCGTACTGAGGCCGGCAACAAGAATGCCACAATTTGGTACACAGGTTGAGGTGCCACAAAAATACATGGACATGTATGTGTGCACACGCAATGGTTTCTTGAGAAATATTGTTTATTTCTGTTCGAATTCTCTCTTTTGATTCTTGAATATTTGCTGGTTTCGTTTTATAAACAACATTCTTCAGAGGGCCCCACATGAAGTACCTAATCCAAGTTTGGCGACCTCGCTGGCCATTCAATATGGATACGTCTACGAATCCATCGGTTCGTAAACATTTGGTCGAGATACCTTCGAACATCTGCAGCATAATATGTTGCGCACCATCTTGTTGAAACCATAAACTTTCATCAAAACTTCCAGGATTAATGCTACTGGGGAATAAATTAATTAAAGTAGGTACAAGATATCCCCTTAAAAATTGAAGGTATGTTAACCCGTTTAAAGTACCGTCGAAAAAGTAGGGTCCGATGATCCTGTTTCTTACAATGCCAGCCCATTCATTTACCTTTTGCGGATATTGTGTATGATGCTCACACATCCAGTGGGGGTTTTCTTTGACCCAGTACCTACAATTCTAACGGTTGACCCCACCATTTGATGTAAACGTAGCTTCATCAGAAAAAATTATTTTTTTTACGAGGAGACGGTCTCGGTGACAAGTTATCCATCATGGTTTCATGAAATTCTATTCTTCTATCTGGATCATCCTCGTTTAATTCCTGTAGAAGTTCGATTTTAAAGGAATGCCATTTTTACAATTTTAATACTTTGTGTGCAGTTGTTTTACTGACATCGAAATCACGACTAACCTTACGAACAGAAGTGTGCACATCTTATTCAAAAGTAAGTAGAACATCTCTAGTTTTGTATCATCATTTACAGTTTTTTAAAATTAATAAGAAATACTTGTTGGCACGGTTACTGTCAACTACAGCAAGTACTAGGGGAGAGTGTTCCACAATCAGACACAAAATAGGTTTTGCTAAATATTAACCTTATTTATTGAACAAACAAAAATATGATTTTTACTAATACAAATTAAGGCTGTGCACAAGGTTCTATGATAGAACATACATCATAAACCAGAAAATAATTCAAAAAATGTTTGTTTAAAAATGAAAGGTGGATTGTGGAACATACATGTTGTGTATGATTGTGGAACATACATGTTCCACATCTAGACACGTCATGGTCCACAATAAGACAAAAGTTTTATTACTGTTTTAACGAACTTCAAAGGCTGAAAAATTAACTTCAAATATGATTGTTGCCGTTTTGTTGTTCACACGTGTAATGGTTTTGGTAACACCATCTTAATGTTTTCCAAGCATACCAAAGAGACGTCTTCTTTTTTGGCACAATAACAAATGTCTGGTCTCGTCCCCAACATCAAATACATGAGACATCCCACGAGCTCACGAAAAGGTTTCTCAGTTACTTGATCTATACTCAAATCAAATCTTAACTTGGGATCAATAGGTATTTTTGAGGTGTTACAATGTTCCATATTGAATTTCTTTAATAAGTTTACAATATACTTTGTTTGATTTATCTTTAATATACCTTGTTCTCTATCATAAGAAATTTCAAGCCCCAAGAAATTTTTAAGTTCACCTTTATCTTTAATTTTAAATCTGGTCATTAATTTGTCTTTTACTATATTTATCAATTCAGGGTTTAGACTTGCTAAAATAATGTCGTCAACATATAATAGTAAATAAAGGTTACTTTTGCCCTTCTGGCACAAAATATACAAGCAAAAATCATTTTCAGAACGTTCAAAACCCAAATCTAGCAAATAACTATTCATTTCTTCATTCCAACACTTGGAAGAT